GTTAGGAATGGATTATATTGTGGAAAAGTTAGAAGAGCTTCCTAGTGATACATGCAGTTTGCTTTTAATGTGGCAAGCAACAAGCAATTAGAACATAGTGTTGTTATAGTATTTCCCGTTTTAATTTAACTTGACCACTAGCTGAAGGTTCCACCACAATCTTAACTTCTTTTTCTTTGTTTCTTAAAAAAAACTGCTTCATCCCTTTCTAAAGTTCTTTCAGCAATACCTAGACTTTAAAAAAGGGGTGGAATGATAATGATCAGAAAGATACAAGCATTGGATTACTAAATAAATTCATGTTTTAAATTCTCATTTTATACTTCTCACATTGCTTGAGAAAAATTTCTTACGTATTCTGTACTACCTTTTTTCCCCTTTTTTTCTTATTTTCAAACATTACAGTACTTACGTTATTGAGCCCTTGGCAAATGTCTCCAGTGAGAGGCAGAGCTTGAGTGACTGTCCTAGCTTTATATGGAATGCAGTCACATTACCAAAGAATTTAAATCCTAAAAAGATAATTAAGTGGAAAGACATACCTTGCTAATTTTTAGAAATTTCAGCAATAGCTACAGCAGCTGGTTTAAAGAAAGCGATTCAATCTAAAAGGCCGTACTCTAAAACAAATGACTCCTAACCAATTACCATTTTTAATTATCTCTTCTGTTTGCACAGTGGACAACAAATTATCCTTTTTTCTTATCCAAACTTTATACTGTTAAAAAAAAGAAAAAAAAAAATCATTGAGTAAATTTAAACTTAGCCTGAATGAAGATAAGCATATCAAGATTTCAGCCCTGGGCCGTAGGTGAATACTTTGCAGCTCCATTTGGAGACATTAGCTTTGCTATGCTGAGTTTTTTCCTAAACGTGTTCCAGCAAAGTGTTGGTCCAGCTCTTTAGCAGTAAGTGAGTGCAGGTATGGTAGCAAAATGCTACCGAACATTTTGTTTTTTCCTGTCATGTCTTATTCCAGGCAAAGTGAAGAAAATGCTAAATGCCAAAACTTACCCTGCTGTCATCATTGGGGTTTACACATTGCCCGCAGATGTGGTCTCGAGACAAGAGTTTGTGAGTTCAAACAAGCATCAATAAATTGATGGAATATTCTGTAAAATACAGTCACATTGACTATTAAGTTATTCAAAATAATGTGCTATTTGCATGTCCTGTGTTGGAGTAAATTATTTATTTAGGGTGATCATTTCCAGTGTAAATGGTCACAAAATGTTTAAACTCTGCTAATTTTAATGAGAAATTAATGTGCTGGCATCGTATTCACTGAGTGGCTGCACTAGCTTGCTGATTTTCAGTGTGGCATTGTAGTTTAAATCCTTCCTGCTATTTTCAGAATGGAAAGCAGAATCTATTCTGCTAACCTTGTGAGCTTCTAAATTTTGTGTCATGCAAGGGCGTGTTTAAAAATTAGCATTTAAAAAGAAACCTACTTGCTTTAAGTTTAAGCTGACACTGTTCCTTTCCTCTGTGGAAATGAAATTTATTAATCATAATAAACCCATCATATTCTGAAGGTAGAGGTCACCCTGAGGAGAAAAAAAAAGTCTATTCATCACAGAGGAATTTCAATGCATTTTTTCCCAGATAATATCTAAGTGTGGATTCTCTCCCCTTTGGAAATACATTTTCCCATGGTTTACCTGTATACATTAAGTGTATCCAAAAGGTTGCAAGGATGAGAATTTTGTAATTTAATTTTATACTCTTTCAGTAGATATGGAAAAATGCTTTTTGTATTTTATATTATTTCATATTTTATATTATGTTTACATTGTACACACTTGTCCTGGTGGGATTCCAAGGTCCTTTAAAAGAACAAATTATGAGTTTTTCTTATTTTAACAAGAATATATGCATTGTTAATTCAAAATAATGATTTATGTTATTATAACAACAATATTATAGTACAAGCTTTATTATGATCTTAATAGAAATGTAAAACACTGTTCTGAGGAGCAGTGATTTGCTTAGTTGATAGTGTTCATGTTAGAATTACTTCACTGCTCTTTCATTTCAAGGGAGAAACATCAGTTTATACAGGAGGATAAAAAAAATGGTATGAACGACTGGTAGAAAGTTCTCTCTGCTTTGGCAAAGGAATAATAAAAATGTACCTGGAAGTAAATACTGTGTTGCGACGCTCTTCTTTTTCTTTGTTTTTAAATTACTGAATGTTGTTTTTATGCATATTTTTCTCTTAGCTCTCCAGATTTGCATAAAATATAAAATTCGTAGCAATTTGTTTTGTTACATCAATGTTCCGGCCATGCTTGTCACTTCAGTAGTTCACTGACACATCATAGTCATTTAATAAAGCCTGGGCACTGGGTGTTTGGGCCTGTTCCCTCGCCCTTCCACATGGCCTGTGCATTTATGGCCATGGACCTTCTTGCCATGGTTGACCCACCACAATGCTCATTTTGTGGGCTCCTTTGCCTGGCCAGGGATGCTGCGGGAATGGGATGTGGTGAGGTGTCAAATACAGCCCCACAACAGGAGATGGATCAGTGTGCTTCCTAAACAATAAATATAACAGTAAAGAATGCAAAATAATAGTGCATGCAAGTCATCCTTCACGTGACTAGGAAGGGATTTATAGTGTGTGTAGCTACTCTAGCTTTAATCATTTTCCCCTTTTTTGATATTTTCTTACTCTTAAATGAGAGTTAGCTTGAAAGAACTAAAGTTATAATGCTTTTTAAAACGGATTCTCAGACCTTGGAAGTGAGCATAGTGAGGAAAAATCAGTGTCTTTTGCACCTGCGTGTAGAGGAATCAGAGACACAACTGGCATGCTATTGTGAAGGGTTATGGAGATAGGCTTTATGGAAGCGCTTCCAACCAAAGAGGTTCCTGTGTGGCATCAGAGTCAGATTCTTCTACTGCCTTCTCCATTCACATAGTCACCAAGAAGCATTTACCCAAAATAACCTCACCTGAGTAATTTTTCCTTCCTCCTGTTTTTCCCGGTGAGATCTGCCTGGTTACTCTGCTGTTGCCTGCCTCAGATAACTTCCAAAGATAGGTATTTGTGGATATGAAGTGTTTAAATGAAATTGAAATACAAATTTAATCCTTTATTCTCCATTATATCTGGTGGAACTCATGTGTTTTATGCTGATTCTCTATGCATGTTTTCTTGAGTCTGACTTTAAGGCCTTGAGATTAAATATGATTTCCCACCATTCTGCTTCCCCTGGATATTAATGTATAGCTATTAGGCCTTCTTTGCCCCAATCTACTCTTTGGGGTAAGAAATACAGCCCACATTCATGAACTCTGAGAACTTTCATAGCTTTCATAGATTAATTTCATTTTATGTATTCTTCTGTAACAAAAAGTTAAATACAGTGAGGCAGCATCATGGCATTCACCCACTGCATGAGTACTTCATAGTGTGACAGCAGATTTTTGATGTAGTTTGCAACCAAAACATGCTAGCATGGAAAAAGTGTCTCTCAACATTACTGAGTATCATGAAAACAGGAAACAATCTTGTGTTTGAAAAAAAATTGATCTATCTTGATAACCAGTATGAGAAGTTCATGATTAAAGCAAGCAGGACCACAGGTCAGGACTGCAATAGCAGCACTGTGCTGCTGTGAAAAAAAATATACTTCCTCACAGTACAAATTTGTAGTGGTTGAAGTTTCTTCTACCTTTTCCATCGAGATGTGTGCATATATTTTCTTGCAAAGGGAAAAGCATATAACCTCTGCAAATCCATGACCCTGAGATGTGCCACAGATTGAGGCATTTATGTGCCACCCTTCCCTTTCCAGTGCTGTTGCCTCTTGCTTTTAGATAGCATGGTTGTTCCAGAAAGAGGTTTGCTGGGATTTCCTTGCACAATGAATCCCTCGGACACTTGTCACCATTGGTTCAGTGGCCTGGAAAGTAAAGACTCTCTTGTCTGCAGAACTTAATGCTCCTTCCTTGCAGATTTAACTGGGTGGATGGGGAATGTCTAGTTCAGACAGTTTGGACCTTCTTCCCATTCTTACAGTGGATGTTATAGGATCAAGTATGTCAGGGAAAATTACTTTCTCAGCTTTCCTTCAACTGATTTAGGATTATTTAATTGAGATTCCACTTGTGGACAAGCAAGTGCATGATTTAAAATAGGGCAACATTCTACTTTTTGCAAAAGGAAATAAAATTGCTTTTGTATCTGGGAAATAAAATAGTTGTGAAAAATGAGGTCAGTCTCAGATTACTGTTTACATAAAGTTCCAAATATGATTTTTACAGAGAGATACCAAGAATACTGTTAAAAATTATTTGGGGTATATTCTACTAGCTCCTATGTGCAAGGTATTACAATGGTTTTAATCTGTTGCATGTGATAAATAGAAGTTCTTTGTTATGGGACAATATTCAACCCTTTAAATGAAACCTCTGGTTTCTTGACACGTCTGTCTCATTAGTGGTAATGGCATTCAGACTGGGAAACAAGGCTATTTATCTCAAGGTGAGGAGAAGGACTGGGCAGCAAATCAGCTACGTAAAGATGCTTTGAAGTAGTTTCAGCTGTGAGGAATTGGTATGGGGCAAAATGGCAAAAATCTCATTTTCATATCACTGTCCTTGCAGGAACTTGGCCTGAAAATTCAGAGTTCAGCTATGCAAGTATCATGGCTTGGGATGACAGCGTGTCTCTTCTTTCTAAAGACTGGGAATATGCAACAAGCATGTTGCTGTGTTCCTTACAGCCTGTTTCCTCACGCTCTCCTGCAGCCGTCCTCCTTAGCCTGATACTGATCCTTAACAGACCAGAGAAGCTAATTATACATTTATTTTCACTTGTAGCCTTAACATTTCCCAAAGGAGACTGCTTTTGAAATTGCAAAATGAGTTTCTTTCTAATGAATTTAGGTAGAACAGAATATTTAATTGCAACATTTTGTGATTATTGGCAATATCTGTTTTTAACTTTTTTTTCTTTTTCCTGTTAATCTGCAACTTTATTTTCTTTGCAG